AGGATGGGGGTTGTAGTAAGGGGAAGGGACTATAGTAGGGGGTAGAAGTAGTAGGGTGCATGATGCAATTTGTGTGGGGGGTGCAGTTTGTGTGTGTGTGTGTGTGTGTGTGTGTGTGTGTGTGAGTGAGGGATATAAAGTGTGTGAGGGGTGCAGTGTGTATATGTGAGTGGTGTAGTGTGTGTGTATATGGAGGTGCAATGTACATGGGGGTGCAGTGTATGGGGGTGCAGTGTGTGAGTATATGGGGGTGCAATGTGTGTATTGGGGTGCAGTGTGTGAGTGTATGGGGGTGCAGTTTGTGTGAATGGGGGTGGAGTGTGTAAATATATAGAGAGTTATTGTGTGTGGGAGGGTGGGGGGGCAGATCAAAACAAATAAATCTATTATTTAAAAAGTGTACTTTATACCCCCCCTCCATTCTTACCTTTGCCTGGGAGGGGGGATATTACTTACAGACCCAGAGGAGCTGCAGGCTAGAGTTCCCTCCCCTGTCTGCTGTCAGTAATGTGCCTGTGGACCGGTGAGGGGTGAGACACGCAGTAGAGCCAGCATGGACCAGCATGGACCAGCTGGTGAGAGTCAGATTTTCAGCATTTTACTATTGCCTCCCCCTCATCTTAAATATTAATGAAGCTGTTAGCAAGAAAGAAATTGTTCTTCAATAGTGTGATAGTGCACATGTAACTATTTTCTTTGTTTTTTATTGTATGTAGTGGGTCTGATGTGTACTGTAGTCATTGCTGCCTCTCAGGAGTAGTGGGAATTTAAATGCAGGACTTAATTTTGTATACTTGTATTTGCTTTTTTATTACTCAGACATGATACAGTGCTGCCATGCACCCCATGTGTGAATAATTGTGTCTCATTAGAGTTTTTACCTTTTAGCTGAAAACAGCAAAGTGGGTTGTTAGTGTAGGGCTTACCTACGTGGTTTTACCTTGACACGGCAGGTGAGCCTACACTTAAGTGGCCATTGGAGTGATACTAAAGATACCTCCAGTTAATTAAATGTGAATAGGGATTTGGCATAGTGCACAAAACACTCTTTTCTATTGTTTTTTTTCCCCACAGTTTTTATATAACTATTAAATTTCACAGCATAAACATTTAACAACATATTAACTGGCACAGTAACTACCCGTCGTCCAGCTAATAAACAAGTGATTATAGTCTATACAGTGAGCCCTTTTTCCTTTGGCTTACTACGCTGGCTAGAACTACTGCTAACTGTAAGTAAAAAAAGGAGGGAAAAAAATAAGAAAAGCTATTAAAAGCGAGAAGCTGTTCCTTTTTTCATATCTGGACTCAAAAAGAGGAGGAAAGACAGCGATCTCTCCCCATAACCCCTAAATGCGGCATTGTTACATAGTTACATAGCTGAAAAGAGACTTGCGTCCATCAAGTTCAGCCTTCCTCATATTTGTTTTTTGCTGTTGATCCAAACGAAGGCAAAAAAACCCAGTTTGAAGCACAATTTTGCAACAAGCTAGGAAAAAAATTCCTTCTTGACCCCAGAATGGCAGTCAGATTTATCCTTGGATCAAGCAGTTATTACCCTACATTGAAAGATTATATCCTTGAATATTCTGTTTTTGCAAGTATGTATCTAGTAGCTGTTTGAACATCTGTATGGACTCTGATAAAACCACTTCTTCAGGCAGAGAATTCCACATCCTTATTGTTCTTACAGTAAAAAAACCTTTCCTTCGCCTTAGACAAAATCTTCTTTCTTCCAGTCTAAATGCATGGCCTCGTGTCCTATGTAAAGTATGGTTTTTGAATAGATTTCCACACAATGGTTTGTATTGGCCCCGAATATATTTGTTTAATGTTATCATATCCCCTCTCAGGCGACGTTTTTCTAAACTAAATAGGTTTAAAATTGTTAACCTTTCTTCATAGCTGATATGTTCCATTCCTTTTATTAATTTTGTAGCCTGCCTCTGCACTTTTTCTAGTGCCATAATATCCTTCTTTAGAACAGGTGCCCAAAATTGCACAGCATATTCAATATGTGGTCTTACCAGTGATTTATAAAGAGGCAAAATGATATTCTCATCCCGAGAATGAATGCCCTTTTTCATGCATGACAATATCTTACTGGCCTTGGCCACTGCTGATTGACATTGCACATTGTTGCATAGTTTGTTGTCTATAACAATTCCCAAGTCCTTTTCGTGTGTTGTTATCCCTAATTCGCTTCCTTTAAGGGTATACGTTGCTTGTGTATTTTTTACGCCGAAGTGCATAACTTTGCATTTTTCAACATTAAATTTCATCTGCCATTTGAGTGCCCAGTCCCCCAGTCTATCTAAATCCCTCTGCAGCAAAGTCTTATCTTGCTCACATTGTATTATTTTACAGAGTGTTGTGTAATCTGCAAACACTGAAACATGACTTTCAATGCTGTCTTACAGATCATTTATAAACATGTTAAATAGAAGGGGTCCCAGAACAGACCCCTGAGGGACACCACTTGCCACCTCTGTCCAGCTTGAAAATTTACCATTAATGACAACTCTTTGTACAAAGTATTTTCATCTAGACCGATTTCCTTGAGTTTGAACACTAATCTATTGTATGGAACTGTATCAAATGCCTTGGCAAAATCCAAAGATCAAAACCACTGCAACACCCTGATCTATACTTCTACTTACTTCTTCGTAGAACGCAATCACGTTAGTTTGACATGACCTGTGCTTCATAAAACTGTGCTGATTTTTGCTGATAACCATGTTCTTGTCAAGGAATTCTTGAATATTATCCCTTAATAACCTTTAACATATTTTACTAGGCACGGAAGTTAAGCTCACAGGTCTATAATTTCCAGGCCAGGATTTTGAACCCTTTTTGAATATAGGAACCACATCTGCCTTCCTCCAATCCTCCGGAACACTCCCTGAAAGAAAAGAAGTTGCCACTGCTGACATATGTACTGTAGCAGCAAATGCAAAATGCCAGTAGTCAATAACCCCTTTCTGAATGGTAGGGCTTTCCTGTATTGGTAACTCACTCATGTGAGTAACCCATTGGCTTCAATACGGTTTTTAATGTGGCAGCTGACTAGCAAGGCTTGGCCGGTGACACATATTTGACCCTCGTGCCACATATAGTTTTTAGCTATTTGTTTACTGGCTGCTAGACCTGCCAGTCAGCAAATATGTCTTCATAAAAGCAATGAAACTACACTAATCAGCCACAACATCAAAACCACTAACAGATGAAGTGAATAACATTGATTATACCCCTTCAATGGCACCTGTCAAGTGTCGGATATATTAGGCAGCAAGTGAACAGTCAGTTCTTGAATTTCATGTGTTGAAAGCAGGAGAAATGGGCAAGCAAAAAGATCTGAGTGTTAGGCTTAGGGAATATTCTGCAGGGAAACATTGGGTCCTGACAATCATTATTATTAAGTGTTATTGCATTGCAAGACCACTTAATGTTATCTCACATATATATTATTCTTATTCTTATTCTTATTGTAGTCAAATTTACCACCCTAACTCCTCCCACAGTTTTTACACTACATAGACAGTAATATACCGAAATGTGCGGATTGTTCCCGATTGGTGTGCTGTTACTTTGTGGAACATTTCGTTGAATGATTCACAAAATATTGTCGTTTTTGTGGCGAAATTGGTCCCATAGGAATGAATGGCAAAATGTTCAAAACTAGAGTGGGAGCTGGCAAAAGCTGAAAAATCAGGACATGATTTCTAAACTGCCACCACTCCCTTATTTTCAAGCCCACCTACACAAATCTTATATCAAAACGTTCAGCTATCCCTGCTGCCACTAAATATGTTGATGACTAAGCCATAGTCCTGATAGCTTTCACAATATGACCATTTGTTTGCAACTCACGCCGTCCATTGACATTCATTGAAACTCCACTGTAGCCAGCTCAAATTTGAAGCGCAATTTTTAAACTGTGACTGTGCCTTCATTGTTAATATTTCAGAGACATACTATGTATCAAAATGTAGGTCTGCGTCTTGTGATTCTAACAATATAAAGCTCTTCACTGTCGGATTTATAGTTTTTAAAATACGGCTGTTTGAAGATGGCAACCGCCAGTAAAGTGAGCAATTTGGAGCAGTTTGTTTTTAACCACTCTTCTCTGCCCTATTTGAAATCTATTCGTTCCTGTTGGCAGTTGGTGGAATGTTCGAGGGATTTGAAATGGCGGCTGCATAAACCCTGTGTAACAAGGCTGCAATATGAAGATGCTGTTATATATGTATTAATAAAGTGAGTACTTCGTTATACAGGAATTATTGACTGATTTGTACAAAACATCACAGTGGCAGCAGGGATAGCTGAACGTTTTGATATAAATTGGTACATTTATATTCCTCCATGGCAAGACCACTTACTATTATCTCACATATATATTATTATTCTTATTGAGCAATTTGGAGCAGTTTGTTTTTAACCACTCTTCTCTGCCCTTGCTGTAGAGTGAGTGAACCACACTCCAACCTTTCCACAGTTACTCCAGCCACTCCAACCACACAACAGTTACTCAAGCCACTCCACCCAGTTATTCCACCCACTCCAGTTGTAGACTACTGGTGGAGGCAAGAACACTTCAAACAATTTCCCCAGAAATTTTAGCTTTTCTAGTTATTAAGTGTTCTTGCATAGCAAGACCACTTAATGTTATCTCACATATATATTATTATTAAGTGTTCTTGCATAGCAAGACCACTTAATGTTATCTCACATATATATTATTAAGTGTTCTTGCATAGCAAGACCACTTAATGTTATCTCACATATATATTATTATTAAGTGTTCTTGCATAGCAAGACCACTTAATGTTATCTCACATATATATTATTATTATTAAGTGTTCTTGCATAGCAAGACCACTTATTGTTATCTCACATATATATTATTATTCTTATTCTTATTCTTATTATAGCCAAATTTGCCACTCTAACTCCTCCCACAGTTTTTACTACATAGACAAAAAGTTCTTGTGGCGAAATTTGTCCCATAGGAATGAATGGCAAAGCTAGAGTGGGAGCTGGCAAAAGCTGAAAAATCAGGACATGATTTCTAAACTGCCACCACTCCCTTATTTTCAGGCCCACCTACACAAATCTTATATCAAAATGTTCAGCTATCCCTGCTGCCACTAAACATGTCAACGGCTAAGCCATAGTCCTGATAGTTTTCACAATATGACCATTTGTTTGCAACTAACGCCGTCCCTTGACTTTCATTGAAACTTCACTCTGCAAAGCTCAAATTTGAAGTGCAATTTCTAAACTGCGACTGTGCCTTCAATTGTAATACTTCAGAGACATACTATGCATCAAAATGTAGGTCTGGGTCTTGTGATTCTCACAATATAAAGCTCTTCACTGTAGGAGTTATAGTTTTTAAGATACGACCGTTTGAAGATGGCAACCGCCAAAATACTCTGACCTGTGTCAAGCTGCAGCAGCAAGTGATGTCATAGACAGGGCCTTTTGAACACCTGCTAATGTTTTTATAAATGTATGGTTTAATGTAACTGTGCAACAACGTTGCAATTAAATGTGCTATATAAATGATAACAGTTACTCCGCCCACTCCAGTTGTAGACTACTGGTGGTGGCAAGAACACTTCACACAATTTCCCCAGAAATTGTAGCTTTTCTAGTTATTATTACTATTTAAAAGCGCCAACAAATTCCTGCACAGTAGGTGGACTTGCAGATAAGTATTTGCAACAAAATGAGTTGGATGCACAGGAAGATAATTTGTTGAGAGCCCAGCTGAAACAAGCTTACATTCTAGAGGTAGTGGTGTAAAGTAACAGGCGGTAAGGGTAGGATTTTAAACAATAAGTTGAAATAAAAAATGTGGATGAGATATAAAATCCCAACCACAAACGATGCCGCAACACCAAGTTTTGTAGTATCGTTGGTATCAGGTAGATTGTTAGTGCATAGATAGGAATCCTGAGATCATATGGTTAATGGGATTTAGATCCTGGTGCTGGACTTTTTTCCAATCATAGAAAATATCTCACAATGTAAATACAATAGTTCGCACACAGAGTTGAGCCCCTTTAGTCCATAGAAAAAAATTAAACGGAGGATATGGAAAGTATGAAAAAAGTGCAAATTTATTGGTATAAAAAAAGGACATTAGTGGTACCCATGGGTTCAAGCAGGCATAATGTATTATACAGATGACATGTTGTCTCCAAAAATAGCACAGATATCCAAGCAAAAGAAACAAGCTTTACAAAAATAGGAGAGATGAATGAGAGGAATAAATTTTTTTCGCAATTCCTGCTGCTGCCAGACAAGGGAGAGACCACCCACACCACTACCCGAAAAACAAGTGATGCAAGTATCCTGGATGCGTTTTGCACCTCACTGGTGCTTTCGCAAACATACTTTTCATACTTTCCATATCCTCCATTTACATTTTTTTATGGACTATAGGGGCTCAGCCCTGTGTGTGCACTATTGTATTTATAGGTTAGAATTTTATTTAATGTACGTGAAAAGTAAGTTAGTAGAAGACCAAAGACCGGGACCTATGTGCCTGATGTAGTTGATAGTGATGTACCGAACGGTTCGCCGGCGAACGGTTCCTGGCGAACATAGCATGTTCGCGTTCGCCACGGCGGGCGAACATATGCGCGGTTTGACCCGCCCCCTATTCGTCATCATTGAGTAAACTTTGACCCTGTACCTCACAGTCAGCAGACACATTCCAGCCAATTAGCAGCACAGCCTCCCTAGCAGACCCTCCCACCTACTGGACAGCATCCATTTTAGATTCATTCTCAAGCTGCATGCTTAGTAAGAGGAGGGAAAGTGTAGCTGCTGTTCATAAGATAGGGAAAAGCATAGCTAGGTTAGGGATAAGGGTATGCTTTTTTTTTATTTTTTTTTCTATGTAATGTAAATGCACTTAGTTGTCTGCCACTGCTGCCAGCTTCTGTGTCAGGCTCACAGTGCCCATTTCCCCAGTCAGTGCCACCAATTACATCTGGTGTCACAATAGCTTGGATTTAAAAACAAAAAACTTTTTTCACTGTTATAGATTGAATAGCAGTCAGTTGTCTGCCACTGCTGCCAGCTTCTGTGTCAGGCTCACAGTGCATACTGTGCCTATTTCCCCAGTCAGTGCCACCAATTACATCTGGTGTCAATAGCTTGGATTTAAAAACAAAAAACTTTTTTCACTGTTATAGATTGAATAGCAGTCAGTTGTCTGCCACTGCTGCCAGCATTTGTGTCAGGCTCACAGTGCATACTGTGC